AATAGAAGTGGCCTCGGCCATGGGTGGTCTTGAGCACCTCAAGGGACTTAGTGTCCATGCTTGTGAGTGCTTGGGAGCCTCCATCACACATATACTTGATAGTGATCATTCGATTGTGTGAGTGAGCGATTCTAGTGCGATTGCATCGTGAGGTTGCATCGAGTGGCACTAGGTGGTCGTGTTGCAAGCCGGTGGTGCTTGTTACTCTTGGAGGTTGCCACCTCCTAGACGGCTTGGTGGTGGTCTCCGTCGAAGCCCGCAAGAAGCTTGTGCGGCGCTCCGGAGAAGTGCTTGTGAGGGGTACTTGTGCTCGCCCCGCGGGAGTCGCGAAGAGCAACTTTAGTAAAGCGTGTCATTGAGCTACCCTCACTCAAGGGGTAGGTTCTTGCGGTGCCCGACGTGCGGGCTTAGCGGGTGATGCTAATTAGCCACCGAACCACCAAGTGAGCGGTCGACACAACGGGGACTAGCGTGTTGGCAAACACGTGAACCTCGGGAGAAAAATCATCGTGTCAACCTTGTTCTTCCCGTTGGTTTGCATCCCCATTACACAAGCTTGCAATTACTTTTATATATCTTAAGCTTGTGTAGTTGCTCTTGTAATTAGTTAGCTTGTGTAGCTTACTAGTTACCTTCTTGCTTGTGTAGCATAGAAGTAGCTCCCTTGCGTGGCTAATTTGGTTTTAATAACCTTGTTAGTCACATTGCTTAGTTTGTGTAGCTAAGTATTTGCGCTCTCTAATTAGGCGTTGGTTGCCTTGTTATTGAGCATTGCTAGTGAGCTTAGTTAGCTTTGTGCTTTTGCTTACTAGCATGTGTAGGAGCTCCCTTGTTACTTAAAGTACTAGTGGCATAGGTTTGTGTGACCTTGCTCCTAGAATTGTTTAGGAGAGCTATAGCTAGCCCGGCACCTTAGTTGCTTTATTAGTATCTTTGCAAGGTGCTAGTGAACATATATAGAGGGGTGTAGTCTTGGCTAGACCAATTGTTTTAATTCCGCATTTATATCGGTTAGCCGACGCGATTAATTTTAGAAAAGACTATTCACCGCCCCTCTAGTCTGCCATCTCGACCCGTACAGCGGCCTACGAAGCACTTCGGGTGGCCCAGCTAGCCACGGTCCAATATCCGTGGCCCGCCTTGACCACTCTCTTCCCCCAACCATGTAGCACGCAGCCGCCTCGACCACCTTTGGCCTCGACCAAGCAGGTATGAAAAGGACTAGAGGTGGTTGGCGCATTAAATATATCTGCCCTGACAGGACGCGCACAGTCCTCTAGGACAGAGAAGGACCACCACCCAATGGACCGTAGGGTCTTGGCGTGCATCGACCACCCTTCGGACCCATAGGGTCCTGAGGTGAAGCGTCACCCCTTGGACCGCCCCATCACTAAGTCAAGGACTACACCGTGACAGAGCGGCGTCACGATCGCCCAACCCATACCTGACTCGACAAGTAGGAGTACGGCCATACTGACCATGGGCATGGGTCTTTGAAAGGTCCTAATAGATAGAGGGGGGTGAATAGCCTATTAAAAAATCTATAACAACACTAAGCCAAGAGGTTAGATAATTATGAGGCAAAGCAAGTGTTGCGCTAGCCTACTAAAAATGCAAGCCACCTACCAACAATTCTAGTCAATTATGATCACTAGGCAATCAAGGGCTATGTCGCTACTCTCTACACTAGTTGAGCTAGCTAGGAACTAATTACAACTAAGAAGCTAGGCTACACAACTAGCTACAACTACCACAAGCTTTACACAAGGTAAATACACAAAGTAATGCAAGAGAATGATAGAGGAGATATACCGCCGTGGCAAGTGATCAATCAATGAATACCAAAGAATACCAATGAGACAAATGATGACACAATGATTTTTCCTCCAAGGTTCACTTGCTTGCCGGCAAGCTAGTCCCTATTGTAGCGATTCACTCACTTGGAGGTTCACGCGCTAATAGGCATCACACGCCTAACTCGCAACCGGGTGCCGCACAACCAACACAAGATGGGGATCCACAAGCCACGTACAATCCACTAGAGTTGTCTTTGGCACTCCGCCGAGGAAGGCACAAGAACCCCTCACAAGCTCAATGATCGGAGCTGGCAACAATCACCAATAGCCGCTCAATGATCCACCAATCACCGGGCCGTCTAGCTTTCGACAAACACCAAGAGTAACAAGAACTCCACCAGCCCAAATCGCCCACCTAGTGCCACAAGATGCTAAATCACTAAGCAATGCACTAGAGGCTCTTCAATCTCACTCAAGCTGATGAAATCAAGTGTAGAAGTGAGTGGAGTGTGTTAGCTTGCTCACAATATGAAATCTCAGCACTTTAGGGTTCCAAGAGAGTGGCCATGGCTGGCCAAGGGGACTATTTATAAGCCCCACAACGAAAAAGAGCCGTTACCCCTTGGAACTGGTTTCCACGAGGCCACCGGACACGACGGTGGTGGCACCGGACATGGGGTGGAGGTGCCCCCCAACGGTCGACTCAACGGCTAGTTTGACTAGCCGAGCGGGCATCAGAAGGCGGCGGTGGCACCGCCCTAGGGAGGGCGGTGACCAAGTCACCCGAGACCCCCTCTCTAAAAAATAGGGCGGTGGCACCGGACACAGGGTGGCGGTGCCCTATCTGGTGACCACCCCCGGTTCCCTTGCTCTTTGGATAAAAGTGGCGGTGACCAGGCGGTGCACCGCCCTCATCGAGGCAGTGAACATCGGACATGGCGGTGACCGCGCCCACGCTGCTTCTTGGGACACTGCCAGGTGGGCACCGCCCTAGGGGTGGCGATGCCACCAGACAGAGGGTGGTGGTGCCCCCAAGGTACCACTTCACACTCGGTTTTGTCTCCTTTTCTTCACCTTTGTCACCACCTTTGCAAATGTGCTAACACTCCAAGTGTTTCACCATCACGTGCAAGTGTGTTAGCATTTTCACAATCATTTTTCAAAAGTTAATCACTTCTCACCGATTCTGCACTTGGCCTAAAATGCATATGCAAGTTTTCCAACACCTAGTGGCACTAGATGATCGAGTTGTCCGATAAGAGCTCCCCTCTTAATAGTACGACCATCTATCCTAAATGTGATCACACTCTCTAAGTGTCTTGATCAACAAAACATGTGTCCACACTATCACCATGATCTTCATTTCATGTGGCCATCTCCATCCATGAGTGCCACTTAGCTCCATCACTTGGGTTGGACCAACCTATCTCACATCCACACTTAGAGCATAGGGTTAGTCCAAATAAGTTTTATCAATTATCCAAACTAAACTAGGGCTTTCAGTCTCATAACCAGGAGCTAGTCTCCTCAGAACCAGTCAGGCCAGAGGACCCCCCACCCGATCGCATGTGGCTGGGAGAGGCATCACCACGACTGAAGAGGCCGACGGTCAGCATTGGATGGCTGCTCTGTTCACGCGCTGGTGCCACGACGCCTCACCTAGGATGGCGGGTGCTAGGACAAAGGCCACGATGCACGCACTATGGACCCACGTTTCACATGTGCCGCTATGGTACACCATACCTTAATGCAGGGAGCAAGAACCTGTGACGATACTTGAACGTGCAACAGAAGCATGAACAAGACGTAGAGGACCCACAGACCAAGCTCGCCAACCACCCTCCCCTCGGGCTCTCGACCACTCAGGTCGGGAGCACCTTTCCCTCTCGACTGTCACCCGACCCCCAAAGAGTATATAAGGGGAGTCGGGCCTTCATTCTAGATAGGACTCTCGGGAGGATAGAATTTCTGCTATCTTGAATCCTCTGACTCCCGCATCCACGCTTATGAGCGCCCCCGTTGTAAGCCTTTAGGGCACTTGAACCGAGGAACATGAACTCGAACCCCTTTGAGACTGGACGTAGGGCTCTATCCTAAACCAGCATAATTTCCCCGTGTCTCAAGTGCTACCATCGACTCCTAGAGCAACGCGGCGCTAAATTTACTAGTCGGTCCATGAAACACCGACACATGTATACACGTTTTGGTCTATGAAGCTCTCAGTTTCTACTGCAATTTGCTTTGCATATGAAATAGTTTGTTGTTTGATGATTTGTAGTTTGATATGTGGATAGATAGCCACCAATGATCGGGCACAACTAGCATTGGCCAAGTCGAGGATGTCATTGGCCTGGCTAGGGCTGGCTGATAGTGGCCGGGGGTCGCCTAGTCAGTCGTGGTTCGTTTTTAGTCACCTGAAGGCTGGCGGTGGGTGGTTAGGGGCGGCCACTCCTGACTTCATGGGCTAGCGACAGGGCAATCTAGCGATGGCGATGACACACAAATAGGTGAGTTGATGTAAAAAGAGAGTTGTGGGATCCTTTTTTTTGTTTTTACTAGAAGTTAGTACATAAAACAACTAGAGAGTAGGATAAATTAAAGTTGCTATTTATATTTTATTAACTTACTAAAAATTATTGGTTTACCTAGTGTGTGTGCGCTTTTTTACGAAGCTCTAGGAGTTACTCGGAGGAGAAACCTTCTTTATTTTTCCTTGTGAAAGAAACTCTGTTTCTAAGGGGTGTTTGGATGCAGTGGCTAAAATTTAAGAGGTGTCACATCGGATATTACATGAGGTGTCGCATGGGGTGTTCGGATACTAAAAAAAAATAAATTACAGAATCCGTCAGTAATCCGCAAGACGAATTTATTAAGCCTAATTAATCCATCATTAGCACATGGTTACTGTAGCACCACATTGTTAAATTATAAATTAATTATGTTTAATAAATTCGCCTCATAAATTAATTTTAACCTATATATTTAGTTTTATAATTAGTCTATATTTAATACCAGTTCGACGACGGGAGAGCGACTAAAGTCTCCCGACCCAGCAAGGGCCCAATATAAAACAGCTGAAGCCTCAAAGCGGCGGCTCCAGCCACCGGCTGTCCTGTCCACAAGTCCTCTCTGGTCCGGTCTCCAACCGGCCGGAAAGAGATACAGAGCGGGAGCGCGGTCCCCAAGCGCCGCAGTACACCAGCCATGGAGGCGAGCGGCAGTCGGGGCCGGAGCGGGAGCGCGGTCCCCAAGCGCCGCAGAGGCGTCGGCGCGGCTACTGGCTCCGAGTCGACGGCGCAGTCGCTGAACGACGACACCCTCCGGTCCGTCTTCTCCCGGCTGGACAACCACTTCGACCTCGCTCGCTGCTCCGCCGTGTGCGGCTCATGGTGAGCTCCTCCTCCTCCCCCTTTCCCTTTTCCTTTCCCTTCAGTGGTCGGCCTGGTTGCTTCAATCAGGTCCCTTCGTTATACGATATCTTGTTTCGAGTTCATCCATAATTTTGACTGTAAATCTGTGTGCCTGCTGTTAGTGAACTCATTCGGGGGTTTCTGTTCTACTCCAGTTCTATCTTCTTTGGAGTGGGGAAAAGACTAATTTTGATGGTAAAAGGGGTACCATTTTCACCAGGAAGCTGGGTAATTTTAGTGGAATTATTTGCTACTCATCATAGACGGAGGTTTGTTATTTTAGTGTGATTATTTGCTACTCATGATAGACAAAGATTTGTTATTTTATTTTATTGGAATTATTTGCTACTCACCACGCTGGACTACTTTCTATCTGTGTTTTATGTGCTATTATGATGTAACCTATTTGCTGCAATAGAACACACCTGAACCATTATATTAGGTCTCTTGTGCTACAAAGTAGGTGTAGCCATAGGCTTGTGGCTCTCCGAGATGTGTTTTGGTCTCACCGTTTATTTCAGATCCTGATCTGAACCATGATACCTTGAGGAGGTTAACTTGTGTTATGTATTAATAAGGATGCTATTTCTGATTCTTGGTACCAATTTTTATACCATAATTTTTGCGATAGAGTATTATAGACCATGTTTTTGTTTGACCTTTTCTGTTTCATGCATTTCTCCTGTTTCAATTGTTGCATGAGTGTTCTCAAAACTCTGAGGCTATGTATCTGTGTTGATTAACATTTGCAGTATGTTTTTTCTCCATGGTTTTATAGGAATAGGATAATTGAAACAGCTCATCTCATGAGGGATCTGTATTACAAAAGGAATCCATCAGCAAGAGGTTCAAGCTCTAACGTTTCTGTAAAAGTTACTTTGAGATGCTTGCCATGGATGAGCATGCATCCTCTTTCTCTAGAGGACCTGCTGAAGCTTTTCAGTGGATTGGGCACCCAATACGGTAAACACTCATGTTATACCTCATATAATTGTGTAAAATGACAGGGGTTCCCATTCATTAGGTCATCAAACATCATGTCTTTATATTCTCTACTATGACAAATCACACTATATTTCTGATGTACTGTACATCATATGAGTAGTGGCTCAATATTTATATTTGTTTTCTTTCAGTTTCTTATTTTTTATTTCAGGGCTACCTTGTGCCGTATGAAGGGTGGTTCAATTTTAACTGGAGTTGGAGATAAGGTGAGTACTGCATCATATCATGTTCTTAATAGTTTTCATCAACATGAGTATCAAATTTAATTTGGAGTTATGGTAAGTAAATTACAGTTATTGTTTAATTATTATTATTGAGCTAGACACTGTAGACATTGCAACAACCCATCTATATTTAGAAATGTCTACATGTAGGATGCCTAGCAAATTCTTTTTGAAGTAATGGTGTAAAATATGGCTCTACCAGACAATACCATAACTACACATAACATGATTATGCTATTGTGGATGGCATAGTTGGCTTGCCCTATTGATCAATCAAAGTTTCGATAATTGACTATGACTTCAATTGATCATTTTCTTCTCTCAGTCCCTAATCTTTTTTCTCATCGCCAATGGTTCATAGTTTTAAGAATATATATACATGATTTTTTGCCAGATTCTCCGACTTTGGTCTGCTGAAAGCTGCAAATTTATGAATGAATACAATGTGCCAAATTCTAAAACATTAGTCGACTTCGATTTTGATGAAAATAAGGTAATCACTGTTGGTGTGCTTCCAGTTTCTGTTATTTGGGTATCACATGCTGTGGTCTTTGTGTTTGATTGCAAGACCCAACGTTACCTGTGCATCACCTATTTATATGTCGCAATCTTCATCTGTTCTTCCAAAAGAACAAATAGTATAACACGTAAACTGGGTGAGTTTGTATTTCCATTTGTTGTAGCATACCATCCAGACTTTTATTTTGTTAATGGAAGATGTACTGAACACTGATGTTTTTATTGAAATAGCTTTGTTTTAAAATTTTCAGCCATATCATGTCTTTTCTAATAAAGTGTTAACTCCTTATTTACCTACTACAAATTTGTTTTGAATGCTCTGTGAAGATTGTAGGTTTAACTAGCTCCCAGATTTGCATATGGAGACGCAGTGAACCAAGAAGCATATTTCAATCTGGTGGAGCCTCATTCAATCATGGGTTATGCATGAGGTGAGGAGACTTGTTTGATTTGTTTCACTTTTTCAGATTAATTGCAAGATTGGGTGTTAGCTGCTAGCCACCTATTACCAATTTTTTGAAGTTGTGCTTGAAAGTATCCAGTTGCACTGGAGGAGTCATGCATAAGCTTTAGCAAATCCCACCTTTATTTGATTAGCCTAGAAAATGATGTTTTTATTTTTTAATTAGCATTTATGTACCTCATGTCATTTCCTGGTGTAGTTATGCTGATCCAGAGGTTGTAATTGGTTGTGAGGATGGTCGAGCCTTTGTATATGATATGTACAGCAGGAGTTGCTCAAGCATTTATCGGCAAGTGTTATTCCTTTTCAACTGTTAGCATTTATGTTCCATGAGAACAAGCTTCAGTTCATTCAGCTGGCAGCATTGCAAATATGTAGATTTGAGTAATTTTAAAACTTGTGCGAACTTTATTTTCCACACCATTAAAGTTGAGAATAATCAAATAGCTGTAATTGTAAGAGTAGTGAAAACAAAGAAATTATTAATATTTCTACATAAAGAAATTTTGTATCTCGAAGTTAATGTATAGTTCTGTTTTGTATATTACTGTGTCGTGGAATTGATGCCTGTTTAATATTTGTACTACAGGCTTCATTCCTCTCCTGTGACATGCTTGGCATTAACAGATGACCAGCTGATTGTTGGTGGTTCGACATTTGGAACTGTAGCTATCGCAGATCAAACCTCAGGGCAGAAGTTAGGTGTTCTGAAATCAGCTTATGCACCATTGGGTAAGCATTCAACTACGTAAGCATGGTTATTAGTTGATGACTCTTAAGGATGAGCAATGACTAAGGCCTAGAATTTTCCACACCCAAATAATATGGAACTTTTGTAACACCATTTAAGGTGTTCCTTCTAGCTATAGCCCTGATCCCATAGATGTTACTTGTTAACTTAAAACAAATTCCTATGATGCTTGTCTCATTCCCTTGTTTCATTTCAAGGTAACAGCAGAACTTTTCTGATTGCTGGCCGTTTATAGGACATCAAAATTTTAATCACAATATGCAATTTGTTAAGAGGTAAAAGATATATTTATGGCTAGATGTCAAAAGAATATATTATTTCAAAGCTCAACAATTTAACATATACCATTTTTCTCTTGGCTTTCCTATACAACATTGCTGGTGTCCCAAATGTCAAACCAAAGAAACAGTACAGTTTTTTACTTTTCAGAACTGTTGTGTGCCTATATAAATGTTCTTTCATTTATTAAGTAGTGATGTTGTATATATGCCTAATCCGTATTCTCTTACTTATGTTATTTTAATTTTTAATTGTCTAAAAATACAGATAATCTAATCTTGGTTTGGTAGATCAATTTTTTTAGTGGCAGTTGGTTATCATTCATTGGATATTTTGAAGTGTAACTAATCAAAACTCATGGTAACATAATGTTGTGATTTCAACAACTAAGTTTTGGTTTTCTTTTTCATTATTTCAGCAATAAGATCCTTATCTTTCTGCACAAATTCACACATGATATTTGCTGGGTCATCGGCTGGTTATGCTCATTGCTGGGACTTAAGGTTAGTAACAATGATACTCATTGGTTGTCAGTTTGCCAATATATAAGGCTGTATCAAATATCAATGAACCATGGACATTTCAGCATTGTTTCAGCAGTCATCCCAAAAGAAACGAATTACATATCTGTTTGTCCAATTGAATTACAATTCCCTCTCACTTTGAAGTTTGCATAATTGGATAAACAGTTGCCAGTAATTATAGATTAAATTTTTGTTGCAGCTTTTGATAGAAAGGATTTAATTCCCCTGTGAGTGATAGTACTTTGAAGTATTATAAAAGGTCATATTACTTTACAGTTCAATTATATGTTTTGTTGAGTTTACTTGACTGATAGAGTTTTTCCATTACCTAACTACTATTTGTATTGAACTTCTATTGGACAACCATTCATGTTAGCAAGTTGCTCATTGTAAATGATGGTTTGTTTTTTCTTATCAATCTAACAAATGTTTGGGAAAAAGTTACTTTTAGAGTACAAATGCTGCCAACAAGAACGTTTGCAACACATCCATTTGCTGAACTGCCAGTGCAGAGTCAAGCAAAATATTACTGTAGTTTCATCATAGCTGTTCATTAATTCCCAGTTGTTCTTGCTCAGGACTTTGAGGCCTCTCTGGGAAAAAAGAGTCAGTCCAAACGTCATCTACAGCACATGTCATTTGCCTGGTGACACGGCAACGCTGGTAGTTGGAGGCATCGACGGCGTGCTTCGTGTTATGTGCCAAAGAACCGGTGAAACCATTCGATGTCTTGTCGTGGACGCTGACCGCCCAGCAGAAGCCGCATCTAGATCTAGGCAGCAAATAGAGAAGAAACCTGTTCGCAGGATTGACCCTGATGCACAGGTTGACAGCATCCCGAGACGCTTGCGCCCTCAGATTACCAGCCTGTCGGTTGGTATGAAGAAGATTGTGACCACGCATGGCGAAAACTACATCCGGGTTTGGAAGTTTCGCCCGAAAAGCTCGTGAAAAGGGGCAGTTGTCGGTAATCTAGTTATCTGGTAGCCCACTGTTTGTAACCCTGTACTGGTGTGGTGTGTCACCTGCATTTGTAAGAATAGCCTGAAGCATAGGTCGTTGTACACTTGTACTCTTTCTCTTAAGATAAGATAGCAGTTAAAAAACGTTTGTACTCGTTTTTTTTTAATAAATGCCTGTATGAGAAAAAAAACGTTTGTACTCAGCTTACGGCCGGTAAAGTAACCTGGTAAGCTAATGCATGCTGATAACTGAATTTGTCTTAAGCAACATATTCAAGCCGTTGTAGTCCGAACCTGAACTTATCCATACATTGATTATTGTCGGCAACAGGATTAGTACTTTATTAAAGGAAAACATTGATAAAACTATAAAGGCGTAGACTCATCAAGATCAAAATTTGTGTATAAATTGTAATTGTATTTGAGTTTATATGTACAAGTTATGATTTTTTTTTTCAAAATGTGCTGCACATTTACTTCGAGATTAATATAGGTCGACCTTTTGACATGGGTAGGAAATTAATTGTCGTTCCCTTAGTGAGATATACTATATCCATTCCAAATTATAAGGCATTTTGACTTTTTTAGATACATTGCTTTTACTATGTATTCAGACATAGTGTATATCACCTTTTTCTCAGTAATACTGCTGGCCTATTTTGGGGCAAAATGCACTGATTCGAATTTCCTTGATGTTTGAGAACCAATCTCCTTGGATTCTATATATGGAGATAGTGCCCTGGCAAACCTAAACACACCAGTTCCTCCGACAATAGCCCATTCACCTTGAACCTTATTTTGATTTCCTATCGCCTTTAAACTAGACCCCCCCCGAACCTAATAATTCAGGAACACATGAAACAATAAAGTTAAGCGTTTAACAGATGCACCAAATAAAATCAAGTCCATAACAAGCCATGTGCATGCCACAAAATGTACTAATCTGGATTTTAGTAACCAAAAATAAGTGACAGAACAGTGCATAGAAATAAAACAGAAATATGTTGAAAATTATGCTTGAAGTAAGATGAGCACATTTAGTACAAACCTTTTATCGGTAAAAACTATGCTGCTCCAGTGGAACCAGTCATCGTCGTCCATACAAGTCTCTGTATGCAGGCCTTGTGCACGTGCAACAATCTTTGCACTCGGGCCAAGACCATCATATATGGAATAGTCATGAACATTGGTGTAACCAAACAAAAGAGGCTGCTTTGGATCTGCTATATTTACTTGGTTGTGGTATGGTCCATCGATGGTCTGGTGCATGTACAAGTTCCGATTATACTCAAGGGACTGTGTGGTGACAGGATTTATAGTATTAGCCCTGGAAAGCTACAAAGTGATGGATTAACTATTGTCAGTGCTAATATAAATATTTTAATACTACAAAATCCATCTTTAATGTTTCTCCACCATGAGTCTAGCTAGGGAAATACACATATCAAGACAAAAAAAAAAGGTTATGGTCACCTTTGTATCAGTTGGAATGTTCTGTGGCGTGCAGCAAAATGCACTGATACGAATCTCCTTGATGTTTGACCTTATTCCAACTGTGTATTCTTCGGATGGAAATATTACCTTGTGCAAAAGTAAACACTCCAGTCCCACCAACAGTAGCCCAGTCGCCTTCGACCTTATTCTGATTTCCTATTGCCTTGAAACTGGATCCCTGGAATCTAATGCATTAATATGAAACCAACAATCAATAATCTCACAATTGTTCTAGCAATACTTAACAATATTACAATTTTTTAGTGTTGTATGGTGACTCAAATCTTACTTGTAATAGGAGTCAATAGATGTGTGCTATTAGGACTTCTAGTTCTACTAAAACTTGAGTGTAGAATCCTACTAGGAGTAGGACTCCTACTTGTATATATGGGGGCCTTAGAGGGCACAATATAAACAAGGGGTAGAGGCCACATGATCAACCAAGCCAACACATGGGTCTCATCCAAGGCATATAAGGAGCAATTAGAAATGCTCAAGAGGATTAGGCTAGTAATTCTATTGCACTATATTCTTGTATAGGGCAAGGATCAGTGGGTCCTAGAGGGTCAAGTAGGGTTTTGAGAGAGCGACAATCACTTATACTCTTTTTGGAGTTGTGCTAATATAATTTGCGATCGGCTTTGCCAAAATTCTAATATCTTGTCGTGGTTGCTTCAACATCGCCATTTAGAGTTTTCAACACGATTCGACTAAATCGTTCTTGATACGGTGGTGCAAGCTTGTGTCATACTCGCAACATCCTTTCAAAGATCCGAGGGCTGCTACGCATAACTAGGGTTATCAAATTCTAACAAGTGGTATTGGAGCCAATGTCAGATTGATTTAACTTTGTGAGAAGGTTGACAGAGCGGAAGCACAAAATTAAGACGATGTCAGGGATGTGAAATCAAGTAGAGAAATTTGATGCAAAGGAAATTTCAGTGTGTGGCAATGTGTGGTAAAAGATGTGCTCTTGTCCAACAATAATTGATTGATGCTCTTGACGGCACCAAAGTAAACAACACAACTGATGAAGAATGGAAGGTGATGGAGTGGAAGGCTGTCAGTACAATTTGACTATGTCTCTTCGATGAGGTAAAATACTCGGTAATCATGGAGAATTCATCAAAGAAATTATGGAAGAGCCTAGAAGAGTTGTATAGGGCAAAGTTGCTAACAAATCGGTGGGTACTGAAGCATAAACTATTCAGGTTACTCATGGAGGAAGGTACATGATTTGTCGACCATCGTCTAAATGTCTTCAACAAGCTTGTCACGTAGCTAGTTAGTGTGGATGAGAAAATTGAGGAAAATGATAAGGTTGTCATACTGGCTTCATCATTACCACCATCATGGGAGCAGTTAGTGATGAATATTCTCGTCGGAAAAACTACTCTCAACTTCAATGAGACAGTTGCATACCTATTAGAGGTGGAGTCCTTGAAGAAGTCGTTAGGAATATTCATTCTCTGGTGATAAAGCTTTGACCGTTTTAGGTAGAGCAAGAAAAGTCAAGAATCATGGGAAGAAGAAAGGCAAGAGCAAGGGACAAGGTACATGCTACCTATGTGACAAGGAGGGTCACATGATAAAGGACAGTCAAAGTTTGAAGATTATGAGTGTTGCATGCTCATGGCATGTCAGGATTAAAGTGATGTACTTATCGTTAGTCAACCAGGCACTATTCATGATTGGATATTAGATTCAAGAAGTTGCTTCCATATATATATGTTTAGTGAGGGAGATGTTTGATAAAGGATCTGTACACCTAGGGAATGGAACTGTTCACTTAGCAGATTGCAAGGAGTATGCAGTCATTGAGGTGGGAACAACTATATTGGAGATGCATGATGCAACACATTGCATACTAACGGGAGTTTGGTGTATCTTGGGCTTGAAGAAGAATCTAACATCTGTGTGGTTGCTAGAACTTTAAGGTTGTGGCTTATCGCTTCAAGGTGGAGTCATGCGAATTAGTTGCAAAGGGAAAATAATTATGAAAAGCATCTAGATTAATGGAGGATACCGAGTGATAGGAAATTTTATGGGTGGTGCACCTTGGGGAGATTTGGTAAAAATCTTGATCTAGAGAAAGAAGTCGTCTCATCAATGATAGGTACTCAAATCTCAATTGCGGTCAAGTGTAAAGTTGCAAAGACGGTTGCAAAATCTTATAGTTGTGAGGCGAAGCCGCAAGCTATTGGAAGAAGGAAGACATGGTGGGACCAACCACGTGGTACCAGCAAGCAAAGGGTGGGGCTTGGAGGCAGTACAAAAGCGTGGGCACGGAGGGTGATAGGAGAAGGTGGTGTGGTTAACCAAACTATACAACAAAGGAGATCTCGGTGGAAGCTTGAGGCAGCTTTGAACCCGACAGACACATTGTGGTAATGTGCATGAGCCCTTGTGGTGGGGGCACTCTCGAGGTGGGAGCATAAATAAAAAAGGAGCTGATTTAGAGCGAATTCTTGGTGGAGCACGATGACTTCAAATGATTAGAGTCAAGATTGAGATTGTTGTATATGGTGATTCAAATCCTACCTGTAATAGGACTCAATAGAGGTGTGCTATTTGGACTAGGACTCCTACTTGTATGTATGATAGGCGTTTTAAGAATCCACCTCTGGTGTTTAATTTTAGAGTCAGTCTTCATGGTCACCTCTGCAAATCAGTGCTTTATAGATACCTTGTAATAGAGTCGGCCTCTATGTCTTCCTGTGGAGAGGCTTAGAGTCTGTCTCTAAAAAGTGTTGTTGTGGTAGTGATGCTTTACAGTTTATAGATTGAATATTGGATTGTTGTGTCCTTATAATCTTGATGAACTGAAGCACTTGAGGTCTTGTTGACAATTTGGTGAAGGTCTTGGTGACCTTCTGGTTCCGCCCCTCCGAGCTTGGTGTGAAGCAATGTGGCAGAACCGCCCGAAATAACGAACTTACGGAGGCGCTTGTCTTCCACTAGACACTAAGCACCCCGAGAGCCAGCTACATTGGGCGGATTCCGTCGAGCACACCCCTAGGGAGAGCCCGAATAATCCACATTTTTTCCTCAGGATCCAATAATGAGAATGAGTTTACATTACTTAGTCCATTTCATACATCCAAAGTTCTTAGAAATACCTTATTGCAGGACCAAATTCAGAGTGTGAAAATTTAAACAACAAAATGAAAAGAAACATCTATCAATAATATACAAGGATCCGTCTGTGCCCACCAGAAGAATTCTTCACACAACGACTACTCCTCAAGATGTACGTGCAACAGGGGTAAATAAACCCTGAGTACACAATGTACTCGCAAGACTTATCCGACTAGTGGAAATAATTTCTTGACTCCAAGGGATATGATAAGCTTTATGGTTTGCTGGGTTTCCTTTTTGCGAAAAACAATTCTAATAGTGCATCCTTATTCATGTTTATTGTTAGCAGTCATGATTATTTCATTATCTAGCCATTCTATGTAAGCACCTGTTCTACTTTCAAGCAGGGGTTGAGCA